CGGAATTAAAACTTGCATAAAATCATAGAAAAGGGTTCATAAATCCCACATAGGGTTCCAAATAAAATCCTAGAAATAAAGACTTAGCTACTCGTAATTCTTATGATAAATAAAATAAAATAAATAAATTAAATAAGAAAAACTATGCTTGAATCTTCGTTGATCTTCTTTGCTCTTGAATTGGCGTCGAAAGTGCTTGACTTGGTCTTATATAGGGTGGAAAACTTGGGGAAGAAGGTAGTTTCCTTGTGCAATTAGGATTCCTTTACTGTGCTTTTTCGTCATCTCGGACGGCCGTCCTGAATTTTGTACTAAAACTCGGACGGCCGTCCCAAAACCAGAGGCAGCTTCTGCTTCTCAGACAGCCGTCCCAGTTTTAAGTGTAAATCGGGGACGGCCGTCCCGCGCTAATTTCTTCAGATTTTTGATTTCTTCACTTTTGGCCCATATTTTCTCCAAAATTGCAGTTTTGACCCCATACTTTTCCAATTCTTCAATTTGTACCTAAAATACAATAAATCAACTTTTTAAGCACCAATTATCGTTAAAACACGCCAAAAGCTCAAATAAAAAGGTACGATAAAGTGTATAAATATGCACTTAACAGTAGGCATACGGTTAATCAGATATGTGGCTGCTTGGAATGCAAAAGACCAGAATTTTAATGGCAAATTCGCAAGATGGAGTAAGGTGATCCCTGTCTCTACAATATGACGATGGCGGCGTTCAACAGTGGCATTATGTTCAGGGTGTTCGGTGGAGTAAGAAAGTGGGAGATGCCATGTTCTTCGAAAAATGAACGTAAATGGATAAACTCGCCACCATTGTCGGAGTAAAAAGAAATAATAGTTTCCTGGAAAAACTTTTCAGCCACATTCTTGAATTTGGTAAAAATAATAGAAACTTCTGATTTTCTTTTCATCGGAAAGAACCAAACATACTTTGTAAAATGATCAACAAAGATAACATAATATTGGAAATCATTGATAGAGGTAACTGGCGCAGGACCCCAAACATCAGAATATATTAACTCTAAAGGAGAGGAGCTTTTTATTGTGGAATGATAAAAAGGAGAGTTGTGCATTTTATTGCACTTGCAGGAATTACAAAAGAAATATTTATCTAAGGAGGGAGAAGAGATATTCATGAGCTGAAGAATTTGACGAAGAATTGGAGTAGAGGGGTGACCAAAACGTTGGTGCCATTGTGGAGAAGAGATGGTGGTTGTCGCGTTGGCTTGTGGTGATACAGGTTTAATGGTATGTGGTAAGTTTGTAGGCCATGGGTACACACCGTCTCTAGGCTTCCCTCCAAGTAGAGGTGCCCCCGTTCGATAATCCTTCACAACAAATGAAAAGGGTGAGAACTCAACTGAAACATTATTGGTAGAACATAACTGATACACATAAATAAGATTCTTTTGCATATTTGGAACGCAAAGAACATTTGAAAGATAAAGAGGACGAGAAGAACAAAGTAATGAGGTAGAACCCGTGTGTAAAATTTGATGATTTTTACCATCCCCCAACATAATTTCTTCACTGCCATCATATTCCAAATGGAGTGATAAGTTCTGCAGATCATGTATAACATGGTGAGATGCACCCGAATCCACGAGCCAATTAGTATTATTATTCGGAGATTGAGAGGTGTAATTGGCCTGTGGTCTTGGCATAGACGACCGATTAACACTAGAGTTGGTAGTTGGTGGTGTCGATAGCACTGGGAATATATTAAGAAATTTGCGGCATTGACAAGCACCGTGACCAGGCTTGTCACATATTTGACAAGTTACTCGAACATGATTCCCTTGGTGCCCTGGACTTGAAGGAAACCTTGCTTGGTGCGGTTGATAAGCATGATTTTTCTTGGAAATGAATGAACCATTTGGGGGTTTATAGCCACGACTGTGGCGATAGGTGGTGGAAGAAGGTTTGGCTGCAAAGTTAGCCATAATAGGCGACGATCCATTGTTGATTTCTCGTGAAAGATATAGCTCAAAATCAGTGAGCTTTTCATGGAGTTCTTGAAAACTGATGTTGGACTCACATGCATGAAGGGCAGCAGCAATTTCTTTGTACTCAGCTGGAAGGCCATGGAGAACATGTAATACAATTTCGTCCATTGAAATATGAACACCAACTGCAGAGAGTTCTCCACAAATTTGTTTTAAGTTCTGAAGAAATTCGGTAATCGACATGGATCCTTTCTTCATGGTACTTAACGACTCTCGAAGACTCATAATCCGAGTTCGAGATGGTTTGGCATAAGTGTCGGCAAGAGTGTGCCAGACGTCGTAGGAAGTCTTAGCTTCAACAACAAAGGGAATGAGGTCAGCGGATAAAGAGGCAATTAAGGCGCTGCGAATTAGTTGGTCTTAACAAAACCAATATTCGTTTTGGAGAAGAATGGGGGTGGGTTTGGTTTCAACAAATTTTAGAAATCTATATCTGCACAAGAGTGAATACCACTGAGTGTGCCAAGATTGGTGGTTCGTGGGTGTGAGTTTGACGGGAGTTTGAGCGGCGGCGTTTATAGAGATAAGGTGGTTGTTGGAGGAAACATCAGAGGTCTGTGGTGAAAGGGACATGGGTGTAGTGTTATCAGCAGTCCTGGCGGCAGTGGTCAGGTTCGGAGATATCGAGGGATCGGCCGACATTATAAGTGAAGAAAGGGAGAAAAAAAAATTGATAATAAATTACGTATAAATTACGGCAAGTGTACAATATCACGTTTTGTAGAATAGTGAATTTCAAATATCAATCCACAGGGAATTAAGTTCCTAAATATACCAAGTACTGTAATTATAAAATCCTAAACTTTATCTAGACGATCAAGATTGGAGGATGAAATGAAGCTAAAAAGAACGAAAAAAAAATAACGGTCTGCCACGATAAGCGAGGAATTCCGACGTGTGATGGCTTCTAGGGTAAAATCCACCAGAGTACTATCGATAAAGATCTACAAATCCGAATCTAATGTCAATTCAATATTCGCTAACCCAAACACTAAAATACTCTAACCCCCGTCTCCAGTGTAGTTAGAGTCTACCCACAGGTCCGACGTCTTCGTTCAGAACCTGATATTAAGAGAGCATTTAGGTCAAGTCCTTCAGGGCTACCCGAGGTGCATCACGTCTCCGTTTCCACAACCCGAGCTATGTTTTCCTAAAATCAAACAAGAAATCCTCTCTCAAGTTCATCCCCATTTACAATCAATTCAACTGTTGGCCAAACAATCGAAAGCATTTAGTACATGAAAACATAAACATAATCAAAGAACGACAAATAGATCACAGATCTGGAAATCAAAATCAATATATACAAGGTTTCATTTCCCTAAAAGAAAATGCTCAGTTCATTACAAACATAGCATCAAAAACAAGAACACGAGAAATAAGAAACTAAACGTAAAGAAAAGCTTATGAAAAATCCGAGTCAAAACCCTCGTCGAAGCTTCCCACGAAGAACTGGCGAAAACCGAAGAAGAATCGAAGAAGAGGTCGAGCGCTTTTTAAAAATGAACAAGGGACCTTCTATTTATAGTAAGAAATCAAAGAAAAATATGTGGTCTCAAATTATGTTCCCAGATCGCGATCTGGGCTTCTTGGATCGGGATCTGGTTCTTGATCAAAAAACCTTCTGTAAGATCCCCCATATCACGATACAGGAAAGTGGATCGCGATCTGGGTCCTGATAAAAAAAACCTTCTGTAAGATACCCTAGATCGCGATACAGGAAAGTGGATCGCGATCTCGCTGTCTGCGTCAACTTCAAACCCTGTTTTGACCCTTTTGTAGCCCGCATTTGACAATTTTGCATTTCACAAAAGTTGAGATCTTGAATTTAGCTTTCAAACTACGTTTGAATCAGCTCAATCCGCGAGAACGCACTTTTGCACATGTTTGGTTTATTTTCGGCTTCGCTTCCAAAATCGTTTCGAATCGGCAAAAATAGCTTCTCTTTACCTAAAATAGACATAAAATAAAAACAACATAATATATAAAATAAAGCCGAAAACTCGGACGAACGAAGACCAAAACTTGAAGAATTGATAAGTGAAAATCATGCAAAATGAACACTTATCAGTATTTGGGTAAATCCAAGTTATAATTCTCAATTTTAATTAAGTTTATTATTCCTATTCTGTCAAAAATACCCTTACTAAATATATGGAAATAAAAATTCTCAAAATTTTCAATTCAGGGTGAATTGTGAATAATTATAGTGTTTCGAAGGTGCAAAGTGCAATTACTATTTTCAAGGGTACAAAGTGCCAAAATGCTACATTTGAGGGTGCAAAGTGGGATTAAGCCAACATGAATCTTATAAAAACATTTTTGGAAAGGGGTTTTTGAAATATTTTCAAGAACTAAAATTGTAAGAAAAATTGAATTTCTTGGTACTATATAGTATATACTTCTACTTCCTGTCCAAAAATATTCAGAAACAAATTAAAAAAAATTGAAATCTGACATCAAAATAAATAATTACTATAAAATTGAAATAATTCAGATCGAAATGAACGAATACAAAAATCACATTCCAATATGAGATATCCACCTTACCATTAATCTTGCAAGATTGCCTTTTTTCAGCATTTTAGATTAATAATCTCACAACTATATACACACCACAATCAGTCCTCCTTCATAAGATATCCTAGTTTCTTCTTATCATACATAACAAACATAAATTACATAGTCCCATTTCTAAATTTGTTCTTTGTCCTCATTATCCAGTTATCTTCAGCAACTGCAAATTGTTTCTCCTTACAAACTTACATTGTTCATGTTGATTTACCAGATAGCCAAATGTTATCTCATCAATCCCAAGAGTACTTAGAAACATGGTACAATTCGTTCTTGCCGACAACTTTAGCTTCCGAAACCGATCAAACACTATGAATTGTATATTCCTACCGCAATGTGTTCTCCGGTTTCGCAACCAAATTAACACCCAAAAAACACTACAATTTCGATCTCTTTCGGCAGACGTTCGATGCGCTTTTACGAAGATAACCTCGCGCTCGGCGCGTTAAGCGCGGTGCGGAGGGGTATTTCGGTCATTTGCTCTGCCGGGAACGACGGCCCTGCTCATACCACTGTAGTGAACGGAGCCCCATGGATTCTAACAGTCGGCGCCAGCATAACAGACAGGAGCTTGAGGGGAACAACTGTGTTAGGGAACAATGTAGAACTTAACGGCGAATCGGTGTTTCAGCTCGATTCTCCGCCTCTGCCACCACAACTACGTCTGCTTTACCCCGGAATGAACGGCGATTTCGCTGCTAGTTTCTGCGATGCAGAGTCGCTAAATGACACGAGTATTGTCAAAGGAAATATCGTTTTGTGTCGTATCGAGTCGACAAGAAGTAGACGAACCGAACAGGGTCAACGGGTGAAAGATGCCGGTGGGGCCGCCATGATTCTGATGAACATGGACTATCAGGGATTCACCACATCCGCGGACGTTTACGCCATTCCGGCAACAAACGTGAACTATGAAGATGGACTAACGATCTTGTCTTATTTGAATTTGACATCTACTCCAACAGCAACAATCGAATTCAAAGGAACGATATTCAGCGATAGAAAAACTCCGACGGTGGCTAACTTTTCTGCCAGGGGACCGAATTACGAAAGCCAGGGAATCCTAAAGCCGAATCTCGTCGCAAGTAATAACACGAGAAGTAATCATTTCAAAATGATCTCGGGTACTTCGGTGTCGTGCCCTCACCTGAACGGCGTGGCGGCATTGATCAAGAGCTCGCATCCCGATTGGTCGCCCGCCGCCATCAAATCGGCGATCATGACTTCTGCTGACGTCATGGATCGCGAGAACCACCCAATAATGGACGAAGAGCATTTCCTGGCCGATTTTTTCGTTATCGGTGCGGGCCATGTCAACCCTGCACGGGCGAGCGATCCGGCGCTTATTTACGATATCGCCCCTGACGAATATATCCCTTACTTGTGCGGCTTGAATTACACGAGTAGGGAGGTAAGCAAGATCTTGCTACGTAGAGCGCATTGCTCGGCGGTGCCGATAATTCACAAAGGGCAGTTGAATTATCCTTCGTTTGCAATTCGGTTAGGATCGCCTAGTCAGACTTTTACGAGGACGGTCACTAATGTTGTTGGAAAAATAATCTGCTATGAACGTAAATTTGTCGAGGCGAGTTGACTCTGTCCTTAAGACGAAATTTCCCCGCAACGGTGCTAACGGATTAAATAGAAATCGTCTCCCAAGATACAACGGCAAGGCTTGGAATAGGAGCACTCCAAATCCCAAGTACGAGACTTTTGAACTATAAGGGAGAAATAAGGACTAGTTGTTGAATTATTTTTGAAAACTCGATCCATTGCCTCAAAAGCAAAAGTGGAGACTTTTGAACTTTTGAAAATCGAATTTATTAAAGTCCGTAGAGGTGAATTCATTGTTTCAAACGCCTATCTTTCAAATTTTGGCGTAATCACCTAAATTCAAGAAGCATAGCCACACATACCCATATTTCCTACCTCGAACCAAAGAGCCTAACAATTGAAAGCCACAAAGCCCCAATGATCCCAATAGCTTAATGTTCGATATTAGTAGAGTAGAATAATTTGGTGAGTATTTGGAGTCAAGCATATGCATGTAAGTATAAATTCTTTCTATCTTTAATTTGCAAATATTGGATGCTTGAAGCAATTGTATGAATTGTGGTTTTTGGTAATGGTGAGTGACTAAGTGTTGTTGAATTTTGAGCTTGCGAATGCCTAAGAATTGTCATTATAATTACAAGTTCTGAAAACGTGAAGTTGATCATTGATCTATGTGATGAGATGTTATCGTTGAGTTATTTGCTTATTGGTAGATTTTGCTTGAGGACAAGCAAAAGTTCAAGTTTGGGGGTGTGTTAAGTGTATATTTTTACACTTTATCGTACCTTTTTATTTGAGCTTTTGGTGTGTTTTAATGATAATTGGTGCTTAAAAAGTTGATTTATTGTATTTTAGGTAAAAATTGAGGAATTGGAAAAGTATGGGGTCCAAACTGCAATTTTGGAGAAAATATGGGCCAAAAGTGAAAAAATCAAAATTATGAAGATTTAAAGCTCGGACCCCCGTCCGAGTTTTAGTTCAAATTGTGGGACCCCCGTCTGAGAACCAGAAGCAGTCTCTGGTTGTGAGACGGCCGTCCCAGTTTTAGTGCAAAATTCGGGACAGCCGTCCGAGATGACGAAAAAACGCAGTAAAGGAATCCTAATTGCACAAGGAAACTACCTTCTTCCCCAAGTTTTCCACCCTATATAAGACCAAGTCAAGCACACAATTAGGGATCCATCTTTGGACGCAAATTCAAGAGCAAAGAAGATCAACGAAGATTCAAGCATAGTTTTTCTTATTTAATTTATTTATTTTATTTTATTTATCATAAGAATTACGAGTAGCTAAGTCTTTATTTCTAGGATTTTATTTGGAACCCTATGTGGGATTTACGAACCCAATTCTATGATTTTATGCAAGTTTTAATTTCGGATTATTTCTTCTACTTGTTTGATTAAGTTCATGAAACTGGCCACTTTATGCGCTTTTATGTTATTGTTAATCGTATGAATCGGAAGATCGGGTTAATAATTAGAACTGTGGTAGAAGAGCCTTTGTGGTATTAACATAGGAATATAGTTAATCTCTTAGGTAGCCATTATTGAGATTTGTGTTTAATGTTGTGTTCTAGAATTGATTGCATAGGAATATAGTAATTGAATCTAGCGTATTAGAATCGTAATACACGCGGAAGCGGGTTATGGTTAATTTAGCATCTCAGGTTAATAATCCAGGTTAATTACTTGCATAATTGAAGGAATTGGGGGAGTAATAATCACATAGGGGGAAGAATAAAATCCTAGGTTTGTTTACTCTGATAAATCTTCGATTTAAATTGCTTTCTTGTTTTTGTTTGTTTTTAATTTAGTTTAATTTAGTTAATTCTTTCTAAAATTCGACTGTGTAGGGTGGGCTTGATAATAATTGGTAGAATTTAGCGTCTAGGATTAGATAATTAAATATTCCATGTGGGTTCGATATCCGGACTTAATTGTCCACTATATTACTTGTACGATACGTGCACTTGCGTGTAGGTTTTCGGCCAACACCGTACGTACGAACGAACGAGCAAGCCGAGCCGGCCGGCCGGTCGGACGGACGGACGGCGGTGGCGGCGCGCGCGCGTGCAGGCACGATTTGAAACACATAACATATAGGCCTTTCTCCCAAACAAAGTTGAATGCCCAAAAGGCGTGACCCTTTGTCCCAATATTTTGATATATATACAGCTCAATACTTCTCTACTTTTCCAATGTGGGATAACTCAAAATCCCACTTTCCTTATATTTTGGACTAGTAATTTTTCATTCACCACAAAATTGGTTCTAATCCAAAGTTCATTTATATAATCAATTAGACCGTACAATAACATTGATAAAAATTGTTCATGACTCAATTTTTAACCAATTTTCCCAACAATCCCCCACATGAATGAAAACGAGGGCGTCGATTCTCTCTAGAGTTCCCACGAATAGTATTGCATCGGGATAGGTAGCATATAGCTTTGAACCTTCCGTAGTGGAGTTACATCGGATTTACTAGGCTGAGTAGTGAACGCGATGTCTTGAATTGTCAGCCGTTCGTGTAAACTAAGACAATGCAACCCACACAATATTATTCTCACATTTCCTTAGTTCTCATGATTGTGTCCGTTTTGGCCATGGACACACATCTTGGAGTCATAAGTGTTTGTCAAGTTTTTCTTTTTGAAGCGGCACTCACTTCATACACTTACATAGGTGATCTCCTATTAAAGGTATCCTGCCAATACCTCACCTTTTATTATAAGGTTTTGGAATCATTAAAAGCGTTAGCTTATCCTTTACCCTTTCTGCAGGTAGCACTATTATCTTTCGCGGGAATGAGTTAGGAATGAGTTCCTTAGTGCTCGACTGAACTTTCTTAGCTTAGTTGTCCCTTTTGAACCAGTTCTTGGGATCTCCAGTCAGCATGGTTGGGTTACCACTAAGATTGTCCTTAATTTATGGGTTTTAATCCCATTCCCCTAGATAGGCATTGTAGTTGATCTCTTGGTAAACATTTAGTCAACGGATCCGCTAAGTTGTCTTTAGACTTTACATAGTCTATAGAAATTATTCCATTTGAGATCAATTGCCTTATGGTATTATGTCGGCGACGAATGTGTCTAGACTTACCATTTTACATGCTGCTTTGTGCCCTTCCAATTGCTGATTGACTATCGCAATGAATCAATATTTCCGGCACTGGTTTATTCCAACACAGAATATCTTCTAGGAAATTACGAAGCCATTCCGCTTCTTCTCCTGTTTTATCTAAAGCTATGAACTCCGATTCCATTGTGGATCGAGCTATACATGTTTGCTTTGTAGATTTCCATGACACAGCAGCTCCACCTATAGTGAAAACATAACCACTTGTGGATTTAGAATCTTTAGTATCGGATATCCAATACGCATCACTGTATCCTTCTAGTACAGATGGATATCGTGTAAAATGCAAACCAAAATCAAGAGTATATTTCAAGTATCTAAGTACTCTAGTTAATGCATTCCAATGGTCATTTCCAGGATTGCTTGTAAATCTACTTAATTTACTAACCGAATGAGCAATATCCGGACGAGTGCAGTTCATGACGTACATTAGACTGCCTATGATTTGAGAATATTCCAATTGATCCACTGGTTCTCCACGATTTTTGGCTAAGTGAATTTTCAAATCGATTGGGGTCGTAGCAGGTGGACTATCAAACATTTTAAATTTTCGTAGTACTTTCTCAATATAATGAGATTGAGTGAGAACTAGTCCATTGTCATTTTTGATAATTTTTACTCCCAAAATTACATCGGCTAGACCCATATCTTTCATGTCAAAATGTGTCGATAACATTTTCTTAGTTTTCACGATTATCTCGTGATTACTGCCCATAATTAACATGTCATCCACATAGAGACATATAAGCACAAATTCATTTGATTATCTCGTGATTACTCTAATTGATGTGATTCTCGTTACGGGCGAATAAGTATCAAAGAAATCTAGACCTTCCTTTTGTCTAAATCCTTTTACTACTAATCTTGCCTTGTATTTATCAATCGAGCCATCGGCTTTATACTTTCTTTTGAGAATCCATTTACAGCCCAACGGTTTATTTCCCGGAGGTAGATCAACCAATACCCACGTATGATTTTGCATAATCGAATCAATTTCACTATTGATTGCTTCTTTCCAAAGCGGCGCTTCGGGAGTGGATAAAGCTTCTTTTATGGTCCTTGGATCATTTTCCATAGTATATGTTAGGAATTCCGGTCCAAAGGACTTAGCAATTTTTGCCCTAGTGCTTCGTCTAGGTTCTTCACCACTTTGAAACCCATCATTAGCAGTTTCATATGTTCTTTTGTGAGAACCCGTTGCTGATTTTTCTTTATAGGGAAATCTATCCTCAAAAAATGCAACATTTCTTGATTCAATGATTGTGCCTTCATTCATATCAAGAACATCAGACTTGTGTATTAAACATCGATATGCACTACTATTGTTTGCGTAGCCAATAAAGATGCAATCAACAGTTTTAGGCCCAATTTTTATTTGTTTTGGTTTGGGTACTTGTACCTTAACCAAACACCCCCACACTTTTAAATATTTATAGGACGGCTTGTGACCTTTCCATAATTCATAAGGGGTTTCTTTCTTTTCTCGGTGCGGAATCTTATTAAGAATATGATTTGCTTAGAGGAGTGCTTCCCCCCACAAATTCTGAGGTAAACCCGAATTTATCAACATTGCATTCATCATTTCTTTAAGAGTCCGATTTTTGCGTTCAGCAACACCATTTGATTGGGGTGAGTAAGGTGCCGTAGTTTGATGAATAATGCCGGTTTGCGAACAAAATTCATCAAATGGAGCACCATATTCTCCACCTCTATCACTTCGAATCATTTTAATTTTCCTTCCAAGTTGATTTTCCACTTCAACTTTATAGCTTTTAAAAGCTTCCAAGGCCTCGTCTTTGCTTCTTAGCAAAAACACATAACGATATTTAGTGCAATCGTCAATAAATGTAATAAAGTATTTCTTTCCTCCTCTAGTTTGCACAAATTTTAAATCACAAATATC